ATCTCTCGAAGTAGAATTGCTGTGCGAAATGATATAATGTCACAGCTCAGTCCGAAATGGTAAAGACTTTCTTTTTCATTATGAACCCAACGCCGTCGTTCTGATTTCGGTACTCGAAGTCTTACCCGAGGAACACTTGGTCACCGCTGTTCCATTGTTTCATCAACCAGTTAGATGGATTTTCGGATCTCACATATCCAAACGACATCCGCTATGAGCTTCGCCGTTTCCGTGATACAGGAGTCGATAAATTCTTCTGTCTCTCGATTGCGTTCTTGCATTATGGCTAGCCACGAAGATCCCGATGACGTTCTGGGTCTGTTTATCAATCGCGTCTTCTGATTTAATGAGTCGTAGGCGTTGTTCGGATCGATGAGGTACGCTGCATCTATTTTTTCAGTTTCTGCTTATCTATGAACGCATTTTGGCGAGTAATTGCTTGGCAATTCATTTGGGGTGCCCAAATCTCATCAGCTATTGCCAACGTCTCCCAAACCTTTATCCAGCCCTATGAATTCAGAAAAGTGGAGCATTCCTGTAAGGCTTTGGTCTCTGAAAGATGTCATTGGCGAGTGACAGGGAGCACCACTGCCTCAAACCATCGGAACGGTTCCCTTTGGAGAAATGGAAAAGTAAAATCACATATGGCCAAGTAAGCCCTTAAAATAACCTTAACCAATAGACTAAGGGTTCTGAAATCTGGCAAGATGGCTTATAATTCCCTTCACAAGTTCAAGATCAACCGTATGTGTAAAAGGATTTTTGGTTACTCTAAATTCGACCTACATGAGGTACCATCAGCAATCTGTATAAATAAATTTGAGCCAGCTGCTAATTCTAACCTACAAATAACTTCTGCTCCGTTAACATTGACTTTGACCTTGACAGCAGCCACCAAACGCCAACTTACAACTTGTAGTTATGCATCTTCCAACTGCCTCGTCGAAAGAATCCATGACACCAGTAGTACAACAACATGCACAAAGAACAAGATTCACAAATAGAGACCCAGCTTTATTTCCCTATAAGAATTCGGACAACATAAGTGGAAAAATTTACGGAAACGCAAATTACTTATAACTTTTAAATTAACAAGTTGTGAAGGGCTTCGCCGTTACTGTCATGGTAGAAAAGCTCATGTACATCGACAAAACTTTTGTGGTGGGTAAATACTTTTGTCCATTTTACTTTACTGTTCCATTGAAATATATATTCAAAAACAACCGTATCAGCAATGTCACAAATGCGGTAACAATCACACTGGCATACGAAGTTTACAGTATTATCATTTTTATTACTATAAGCATAATCCGTCAAAACAAAAAAAAATATTTTTCATCTACATCATCCTTGACCGCTTTGCCTTTTGGGTCACCATTGTAGCACGAAAATATTCTGAATACGATTTTATATTTTTAATTCTGATCCAGATTTTTCAACAGTAGATCGGTGGTTTGTTATGGTGGCACAGCGCCTAAACGTTTGGCTGTATCTTCAGATATGCCGAGTTCGAATCTGCTCAAGGGAAATCTTTGCCATAGCAGCAAATTCCGTGGCGCAACCAGTCGAGAAACCGATATCGCGACTCGCAAATAATGGAAGGGGGCAGCCTGATATTCTGGTTGGTCATGCCTGAATAGATGGAGAGTTCATACTGTGCTGTCCAACGTGAGTGTGCATTATAAATATATCTGGCTATTTGTAGTTAATTATACAGCCTAAGAATGGGCATAAGATGTAG